AAGATCAAAGTTATTCTCTGAAAACTTGATTGCAAAATTAACAAACTCTAACATAGTTTTACTTTCATGTATCATCTCACAGCTGGTCATATATGTAACCCCTGATATCTGAATCAACAAAGACATCATCTGCAGCAGTCCAAGTGTATCGGCTTCAACGTTGGTATCTGAATCTACAAAGACATTGTCTAAAACGGCCTTCTCTATCTTCCTTTTACAGTATTTGGAACCCGTCTCAGGTTGCGCAGAAATTGCGTTTCACTTCAAGGTTTCTTCTATACAAAGTGTTGATTTCTGCGCTAATTTTCATCTGGGTAACACCAAAGAAAATGCAGTTTACAGAATTCCTCATGTCTATAATCTTGGCAGCAGTAGTATATCTCGTAATAGACAGTTGCCAGATCCACTATGAGCTTAATAGAATTAAAGATGATATCCGACAGCTGCAGCAGAGACAAGATCAACAAGATAACCGACTAAACATTGTTGTCAGAGATATAGTGCAAAATAAAGAACATATAGAAATTATAAAAGAAGTCTTCATGAGAATGAAAGCAGACATAGAAAAGTATCGGGAAGATGTAAATAAATATGGACAAAGATATCAGGAAAAAAGTATATTCTCTTTGTTCTTTGATGCAATATCTAGTTTAGCAGCTAGGTTTCTTGGGTTTGACAGTTCCCGAAACCTGCTCACATAATTACGTGCAAAATGCAGAACAGAAAATCACCCACTGAGTGCTAGTTATTCCATACACATTATTAGTCTACCATACAACATTAAACCAAGGATTAAATTGTTGCTGTGATTGTTATTCGACATATGCTTCGTAAATATAAATTTCTGTAACCTATGGTGCCATTTCAATGGTTTGAAATGAATTCTGTCAGTATTCCATAGTTGTGGATTTCAAGCTGTACGATAGACATGGCCAATAAGACACCTTTTTTGGGGGGTGCCTAGTTGACCATGTTCTTAGTGCACTTGTATTCATGGTGAGGCGCACACGCAGTCTGGGGGTTACAGGTTTAATTTTCGGCACGGTAACTATAGCTTTCGATTTTTATGTTGTCTAGTGTGCTCTTCTATTTTTCTACTTCTTTCTATGAGTGCTGATCAATACACTTTCTATTACTTGATTAATCCAAAGATAGATCCACTAGCAGCTCGTGTGAATTTATGAAACTAACAGTAATTATTTTAACAGTAAAGAAAAGGAACCCTTTTCAGGCTAGTGGTGCCATAGGGCACATGAAACCAGACATAGCTGCCTTGGCCTCCTAAATCATTTCCTTTTACCTGTTAAAGGCTAGGTCCACATGACAGCACAAGTGAATTTTTCAAAACTGTAACAGTGGGGTTTGAATCTTGGACCACCAGACTGGTAGGCAGATGTGAATTTATTATAGCCATATAGAGAGACCTGGGTTCCAATTCTTGATAAGTTTGGAGATTTTGTGTGTCCGTGTGTGCTGGAAACAAAAGTAAAATTCTTACCCGCAAAAATCATAGCTACAGCACTAGCCCCGCTGCCCTAAATCCTCAAGTTTAAATATCCCACATAGCAATGGTGGTAAATACAGGAAGGTAATGTCCATTTTTATATAGCATTGTATACATCCAAGGCCCTCAAGTAACGGGAAACAACTCTAATGTTACAAAAGTTTTATGATAAATTTTAGAAAACTAGTTCTCACAGGGCAAAGCAACCTGTCACTGCCAGTTAAGGGTTTTCAATTTTCAGGTCTTCAGTGGCTTTTAGAAATATTGTTGATGACATGTAAATATTCACATTCAATGAGCACATTACCTTGTTCTGATATTATTGAGAGTAACTGTAATATCATACAGGTGAATTGATCACTCTAAAATGTTATAAAATGTTATATCTGTGTGTACGAGGGAGGGTAGGTTGGTGCATATACAAATATATATATATATATATATATATATATATATATATATATATATATATATATATATATATATATATATATATATATATATATATATATATATATATATATATATATATATATATATATATATTTTATTTATATCTGTCTGTGTGTGTGTGTGTGTGTCTGTCTGTCTGTGTGTATGCGTGCGTGCGTGTGTGTGTGTGTGTGTGGACGTGCGCGCGCACACATAGGTATTTCTATATTTTCAACTGTTATTATGAAGGACATATTTAATGGAGACACATGTGTGGCTTCTTTCCCACTTCCCTTGTCAAAGATTCATCTATTATTCAAACTATCAAAGCAACATGCACCCACATAACTGGACTCTTTATGCAGACATTTCCCCATGTGTGAAGAATAAGTCTAATAGCAAATTAGGAAAACAAGTTTTCAACTGGGAACAACTTAGTTATCATTTCAGCATTTTTAATACTTCAGTAAAAACTAGGCAATAAAAAGGTAACACATGCCCTCTGTAAACAAGACACAGGAATTTTTGGTGTATGTGCAACAACTGGGTTAAAAGGGCTGGGATTGTACTTTCTTCTTCTTCTTCTTCATGATCACCAGCTGTTAACTCTGCAGAAAGTTCTGGTTGTTCATCCACTTTCAGACTGCAGTCCTGTTCCAGAACCCGAGTGTTGCGTGTGCATCCGTTTTACAGATCTGACTTATTTGTATGCAGACTACTGGTTCCTTGCCTCTCAGGCAGAGGCACTCTGACTTCGAAGGAGTTGCTGACTTACTTACTTCTACTAGTAACTAGAGTGTAGAGGTTTGCCAGAAGGATTGCCAAACTTTTCTATCAGCAGCTGTCTATTCGGCTTTGTGCCATTCCCATTCTTTATCAGCAGAGGACTATTGGATGTTGTGTTCCCAGAAAACCCTTGGTCGCCCTGGAGGTCTGGTCGTGTTGTAGCGCAATTAAACTTTTCACCGCCAATAACTACTATTTAAGGCACACATGACTAGGAGATTCTGTCAGTCAAAGTTTGACAACCCCAGCTGATGAAAAAGGAGCAAGGGAGAGCACCAAGTGAATTCCAAAGGTGTTACTGCCACTGTGCTGTGAAGAGTTGGGATTTCACAAATTCTAGGCAATGATATATGAGCTAGGGTGGTTAGTTCCTTTCCTTAGGCACATGGGGTGAGCATTAGTGTCTGTATGGAGTATCTGTGTGTATGTGCGAGTGAATGTATGAGTGGGTATTTCTCAAAGCAATATGTATGTGTGTGCATTCATTTATGTATGTATGTGTTTGTATCAAGGTGTGTGTATGTGTTTTAGAGTGGCAGTATGGATGTGTGAAACTATGTATTTGCCATTCATGCTGTTTTATTTACTTTATTTTTACCCTATGCCCACACTATGTCTCTGTGGCTAAGTCAATGCGAATGCTTCGTAATGCCGGGATGCCCCCCCCCCCCCCCACCACCACCCCGGTTCGATCCCAGCTACGGGCCATGGTTTCGACAGTGGTATCAAGAGAGCCGACTGCCCAGAAAGCAATGGCAAACTACTGAACGTAAATTTGCTCAAAAAAACCACACAACAGCCAGGGGTGTTGGGGTTGGTTCTGCAACATCCTGTAAAGGATACGCAACTAACCACACTTTGTATTTTGCTGTACAAACATAAAATGCTCTGTAGACAAAAACAACTGATGTGTGAAAGTTGAATGTCTGGAAGGGCAGAATGTAAGATGGCCCTGTGTGCCCAGTTTGTGATCCTCATTCATTTGTTCGTTTTATCCTAGTAAGTTAGTTGTGTATCCTTCACAGGACGTTGCAGAACAAATCTCAGCATTTTTTGGCTGTTGTGGTTTTTCTAGGCACATTTATGTCCAGTAGTTTGCCATTGCTTTATGGATGGTCGGCTTCTTGATACCACTGTCGAAACCAACGCAAGGGCCAAGGCCCACAGCCGGGATCGAACCCAGCACCCCGGAATTATAAAGCGCGTTCGCAACACCTAAGCCACAGATGTTGTTTTATCCTAGACAACTCAGTAAATTTATTTGACTCATCTTCAAGAAGGGTTGGGCTGACATCAGAGGCCTATTGGCTGGATGCAAATCCTAATTCTGTTGCACAATGAACTAGGGCTACGGTCTTGCCAAACAAGCACACTTGACCATTCAGCTATACAACTTAACAGATCTTCTGGGATTTGCTTCTCTCTGACTCTTATACAGGAGGTGTTAATCCATATTAATCCAGATGGCAATCCGGGAGGGGAATAATAACCATTTAAGTAATATTACAGGTTGACCTCCGACCCTACAGTTGGCAATCCCGGAGGAGAATAACAACCACTATTCAACTCATCCTACAGGGTGACCTTTGACTCATTTTAGACAACAGGTTACTTTGAAACCATAGGATGTCCCAGTCTGTGGTATACGGGTGAACAGGGTTCCAGGGTTTTGATTATGTCACATTCAATCCCTGTACTGCCTATTCAGTCAACAGGTATTAATCTCTCAGACTACAAAATCCTGGAGGAAAATACACTACCCATTATGCTACTGAACATATCAAGGGGAAAAATAAAGTCATAACGTAAAGAGGACTTCCCCACTCTGTATTAGCGAAACTACAGCACAGACCTGATCCAAGTTTCTAGGGATCATGTCAGAAGTGGGTCATGACTGCTTAAGGTTATCAGCACATGATAATACCCCCCCCCCCCCCCCCCCACTTCACCAGGATTGCAGTTGGTAGGATTATCTTCTCAAGGATGAGAATCAAACCTGGGTAACAAATCTGAGTAACCCCATCTAAGTGTATACTTGTACAGACCAGGTATACAGGGGCACTACAAAATGGCTACCAAGTGACCTGCAGTCCAGTGTAGGTGGTTGCATCGTAATTATAAAAACTAGTGAACTTATTGTGCCTCTAATAGTCCAGTGGTGGCCAACAGATTTTAGGCTATTTCTGAGGGTCACTCATGGCTTTTTGGTGTAACATCCCTGTCTACACCACAAAAACTGGTAAATATAGTCAGTAATGGCCTTGTCCATATGGCAGTTTTACACATTGTCTGTGGGGGTCTCTAATGTATGTGATGGATGGTCACTTGCTTGAGTCAGTCTCCTGTCATAGAAAGTCCATCTTTGTTTGTTGTTGAGAACCTCCAGATCCAAAAGATCAATGTCCCACCTGCAGGAGAACAAAGACAAAACAAGACAATCAATGGGAATAATTTCAGTTGTGTCTAGGATGTCAAACATTTGGGCATGCAAGTAAAATCAGGAAAAGGATGGACCTCTTCTTCTATGTTCACCCATGAAAGGGCAGTTGGGATGCTGTGCTGTGGTTTGCAGCTAGGATGTGATATCTGCGTCTTTCATCACATCACTTTTGATCTCAGTTAAACCCTAATTAGTTGCCTCTGATGAATAGTTTGTTGGCAGCAGTAAGTTTATATTTCAATACCGCATAAAGCCAAATTTTTTTTTTCAAAAACATTACCTTAACTTTGAGGTTGATCCAGCCTGAAACGGATACCAGGTTAATTCCTTGGAAGTAAAGGCGGCCGACAGGATGCTGATCACATCAGCCATCAAGGGCAGTTGGGTTTATAACAATATGAGTCTAGCCACACATGCATAATGCACCTCTGGCATGTGACGCAACCTTTAAGTGAGTCCATTTCTTTCTTGTGGCCATGGAAAACAATGCCACTGAAAGAGACACAAGGCTTCAACAAACTATGGGCTGTTTGTAAGTGAGCAAGGTTAACTGGGGGACTGTTTGTATGATGAACTATTAGAAAGACAGAGCGCAAGTCACGGTGAACAAAGGAAACCTGACAAGATCTTCAGATTTTGTTTTAAAGCAATTATGCAAATTAGCTTGGAAAATCTTAGGCGGGAAAACTTCAGTGAATGAGCTTAGGTACACTTAGTTCAACAGAGGAGAAACTAAACAGAATTAGAGAGGGACCCATATAAACAGATGGAATGGCCACACTGGAGCGACTTATTTTGAGACCACAACCAATACAGCTTGTCTGTGAATAAACCAGTCTGATGATGATGTCGATACTATGGAATTAAGTAAATAGTTCCACTATGGAACTTGGAAATCCTGTCAGAGAATTCATGAAACCTTGCTCAATGTGTTGTGACATGACAGTGGCAGCCATGATTTACTGTGCTGGCGACTGTAGTTGGCATCTGGCTAGAAAGTCATAGGTTGACAGAGAGTAATTGGCAGTCAAGGTGTTGGTAGCTGGGTAGATTCCGCTATTAGTTGTAATGACTGGTAGCCTGTTGTTATATTCAAGCTTTTTTTTTTTTTTAGTTTGCGTAGCAATTGGGCTCACTATGGTTATAACTTATTATAATATCTGGTGTATTAGTTATGTTTTATTTTTAGGTGATGGTTTAGTAAGAGATATATGACACTGTAATTCTGTTCCTTAATAAATAATAATATAAATATATATATATTTGCTTAATAAATAGTTGTTATTCTTCTATTCCATTGTTAGTTTGTTAAGTATAGGAGTTGTACCATTATTTAGTTATTGTAGTTATTGTACTACTATTCCTATATTGATACTATTTTTTTGTTATACCTCCACTGACTATAGCCTGACTGTCTGGGGTGTAGACCTACTTCTCGTCTGTCTCTCTCTTCTTTTATATCCTCCTTCTCTCTATCAGTCCTCTAAATGTAAACCCCCCCCCCCCCCCCCTTCCCCCCGAGCCAATATGAGGATACAGCCAGCAAACAAGAAAAAAAAGCCGTACTTACCTGTCTCCAAGTTTCTCCCTGCTTGCCAGCACGTGAAGGACACCCTTGCCTTTTGGTCCTTTTAGAGGGATGCATACCTTTAAGAACATAATGGATGTATATTTCTTTAAACAAATTATCTACAGTTTTTTCTTTTTCTACACAGTGTCATTCTTTTATATAAAGTTTCATCCTTCCACATATATTTTAATCTTAGAGTAGCAGCCTGTTCTATTACTAGGCATATCCACCTGGTGGTGGTTGGTGATAGCCTATAGATATAGGGGCCAGTTGCCAATATATTAATAAATGGCCGTCGATCAACACATGTGGTGGTCAGGTGGAGGAGGCAAGCTAGCTAGTAGGATTATTAGCTCTATAAAATACCTCAAAACTGTGATGTGGCCATTTGCAGATGAGACATGCCATTATATCTTCTTCCCCTTCTGCCTTGCAGGGTAAGTTTGCTCAGACAAAGGCTAACTATACACAAACCAGCTGAAGGCAAAGGGAAACCATCGCTGCATTTTTCCTAGCAAATCATGCCTTCAAGGTAAACTGGTTGTGGAGAGGCATGTCCTGCTATGCCAGTTGTTGGCTTAGCACTTCAAGATTAGCTTGATATTTTCATCCATGTTTTATTCATTAATAATTTTACCCTCTCCAAGTGGTTAAGCTGTTCAGCTCAGGTACTAAAGGTCATGGGTTGGTTTTACAGCTTCATCGTTTAGCTCACTAGTGGAATTTTTACAGAGATCCCTGGGGATCATCGCGCGAGCTATGAAGTTAGTGCTTTGTGTGATGCTCTTGACAGGGCACTAGCCATTCTGTGGACAGAGTCCAAGCCATATGGGTTATAACCTGGTTCAATTAAGCCAGTCTTTTTAACTTTAACTGTCAATATATAGTTTCATCTTTTGTCATCATCAGTTCTCGTTATGCCTAGTGGCACATGAGGCTTCAGAGAGGACTTTCCATGCTTTCCTGTCCTGTGCAATCTTCAGTGCAGTTTTCCATGTCAAAGATGCCACGCTCAGGTCACGTCCCATCGTTCGTCTCCATGTTGTTTTTGGGCGCCCCTGTTTTCTCTTTTCCTCTGGTGTCCATGTGAGAGTTGTTTTGGCAGGTATATCAGAATTCATTCTCATAACGTGGCCAAGCCATTTCCATCTTCTCTTGGTAATCATGATGTCTAAAGTTTCTTGGTTTGTGACTTGAAGTAGTTTAGTGTTTGAGATTGTATCTGGCCAGAAAATTTTGATAATTCTACGTAGACATGTATTGTGGAAGTTCATCTTTTGTACATTACCAAGTCACTTGCAGATATGCTAAAATCTAAAAACCTTTTTTTTTTAATGTTTCCATGAGGTACACTAAATATATGCTGTTAATTGTTTGTGTGTTGTTGCTGTTTTTTTTTTTTTAGTTAGTTACGTACCGTTTACGGGATGCCGAAGAACCAACCTAAGCATTTTTGTGGTTTGTGATTTTATTAGGCAATTTTACGTTCAACAGTTTATTCATGCTTCTGAATGGTCGGCTCTTGATTCCATTGTCGAAACTAATGGAAAGTGGTCTGCTGCAGCTGGGACAGAACCCGGCACCTTGACATTACAAACAGCATCCACAACGCCTAAACCACAGATTACTAAATTTATTATGTGGTCAATATCACGCCAGTCTGCTTTACTTCCTTAACAGCCCTGATGTTGCTTTTTTTTTATGGGTGGGGGAGGGTCGGGTTCAAATCCCTATTTCAATATGGATTTGAAAAAATTGTCCTTGGGTCAGTAGGTATGTGTACTGTTTTATTATTATGACTCCTACTGGAAAACACTGAGCCATATATTTGACATAATCCAGTTTTGCTGAGTCAGTCTTAACTGTTAGAACATTCCATACGGGTTTTGTTGAGTCTCAACTGCTAGAACATCCCATATGTGTTTTGTTGAGTCTCAACTGTTAGAACTTCTCATACAGGTTTTGCTGAGTCTCAACTGTTAGAACATTCCATACGGGTTTTGTTGAGTCTCAACTGCTAGAACATCCCATATGTGTTTTGTTGAGTCTCAACTGTTAGAACATTCCATACGGGTTTTGTTGAGTCTCAACTGCTAGAACATCCCATATGTGTTTTGTTGAGTCTCAACTGTTAGAACATCCCAAAAGGGTTTTGTTGAGTCTCAACTGTTAGAACATCCCAAAAGGGTTTTGTTGAGTCTCAACTGTTAGAACATCCCAAAAGGGTTTTGTTGAGTCTCAACTGTTAGAACTTCCCATACAGGTTTTGCTGAGTCTCAACTGTTAGAACATTCCATACGGCTTCTGTTAGTCCAATTTTGGAGGGAAAGGGAGATTAGACCCTCCTGCTTTAACAAGCACATAATTAAAGTTGACCATTATGGTGTTTATTAGAAGAAGAACACAAAAAATCTATGATAATTAACAATGGGGAAAAGAGTGACTACAAATAAACATCAAAGTAAACAGAGATATTAGAACAAGGAAGAAGTTTCTCTAATCTTGTACATTTAAAAGCAAATTGTGGCAGAAGTGAAACAGAAGTCAAAAATGGAAAAGGAATGCCTTAAACTATCTTCAATAAGATGCAAAAAGAGAGATAAAAAACACTTTTAAAATGTTTGAATCGTCAAATGTTAGATACATTAGGCCCTGCTGTTTGGTGCAAAAATCTGGACAAAGAACAGACAACTAGAAAATTTTATTGTGTCTCTGGAAATACAGATAAACATAAGAACAGGCCGTACTTCATGGAAACAAAAAACAAACAAATACAGCAGTTATAAAGACTGTGAATGATAAGAGAATTACTGAAAGAAAAAAAAACAGAAGAGAAATTGAAATATTATTAGCCACATTGACAGATACAATACGCTAAAAACCATGCTGGAGGTCGAGGGCAAGAGAGCAAGAGGTAAACAACCATGCAAGTGGGAGGACAACATCAAGAGATGGGCAGCGTTTGAGAGTGTACAACCAAAAGACGGAGAGTGTTGGAGATCCATTGCAGCCAACCCTTCTTGTGGAGACAGCACCGGATTGACTGAACTAAGTGTAGGCTTTAAAAGGCACAGATATCACAGCCTAGTTGCAGAACCAAACATATTATTTGCAGAAGTCTTTCTGTGGGTTTTACGGCCCTATTTTGAGGTTAAAAAGAACAGACCTACTGCCTCCCTCACATGCAAAAGACCCACTGCTTCCATAACAAATATGCTGTACAAGGTGATTAATTTCAGGTTTTTCCTTCGAAGCTGGAGTGCCTCTGCATAAAAGGTGAAGAAGCAACATTCTAATAACACATATAACTCAAATTCTGGAACAAGACCAAACTGCAGAAGCTCACAAACAACAAGGAGTCTATAGCTGGTGAATGCAAAGAAAAAAGAATGCAGAAGAAGAAGAAAACTTGAACATAATGCACCAAACCCAAACAGCCTTTCAAGGTGATTGTAACGGATAAAAGAAACCTATGGAATCACTTTACCCAGAGTTGTGTACATTTGTGGCAATGTTTTAGCCACTTGATATTGAGTATGTTATAATCAAAACTGATAAAAATAAAATTGATTTATTCAAGATACATTTTTAATCTATTTTGACAAACCGTTGCTTTAATAAGCTCAACTCTAAATTTTGAGTCATCTGTCAGATCAAGTTTGCCTCCGTAAATGGGACGTCCCAGAAAATCGGCTGCAGGCTCATACTTGTGTAGGAGAGCTAGTGATTTCTGGTAGTAGTCCTGTTTTCTGAAATTATCTGTGGACAAAATTCAGCCATCTTCGTTAATTGTCACATTTTCATCTTACTGAGCTTTTATTTAAAAGTTGTTATAGCATTTATTACCATGACTTAAGTTTCACTGGATTTTGTTTCTAGACCCATATTTTTATAGACAATCAGCAATCAACAGGTTATATTCCAATTTTGTTGTTTACAACTAGGCAGCAACATCTGTGGTTTTTTGGCCTAATACATCTAATTTTTCTAAACCTTTAATCCTCCTGTCCCAAGGAAGCCATTTGTCAGGTTTTACAGGTTTTGGTTGACATGATGATTCTGGACGGTGCCCGGTAAGCCTGTATCCATAGTTCTGGTCCTGGCTGCAACTACACAGTATGTAGATATGGTGGGTATGATTTTGTTTGCCCCAACACATTATCTGGAGTGGAAAAATATAGATTTGTAAAAACTGTGGTTTCATTATGACCTCATTATTTTATTAGGTCAAATTGCGCTCAGTGGCAAAGCAACATGGTCAAAGGGAAGGAAATCAGTTAATTCTTTGGTCTGTTTGTATTTAGTGATTTCTTCCCTTTAGTTAGAAATAAACCTGTTCCAAATTTACAAGTTTGGTGAGTGGGAAAAAAAATGTTTGTTATATTTTCCTTAGTGATGTGATGTCATCAATATAGCAGAGGCCTATATGCCTGCGCGTCTTTTCTGTATTCTTGGGGTTAAAACCCTGCTATTTACAAACTTTGACCATTACTCCAAATTTCTTCTGCTTTTTCTACCCTTCAAGTTTCTCACGGTAGTTTTACAAAATTAATTATAATTATAAACATCGGTTGCTTTTTCAAAGAAATTTGAAAAAGGTCAGTTTTTAAGATTATTTGCAGGGTGAAAGGGTTAATGAGGGACCCCTTCTTTTCTCCTGCCTTTTATTTCATAATACAGCATAGGTCCTCAGTCAACTCAAGCCAAGGCATTCTGTTCTTTGCTATCACACAGAGTACACTCCATGTCCTCCGTTATTTTTAAACTCCCTTTCTGGCTGTCATCTCCATGTTCTTTTTCTCTGCATTTATACTGGTGCTCTGTCTGTTAGGGATTGAAGGCCTTCTAGTTATACTGTTCTCAGGTTTCCTCAAGGTGTGTCCTATCTAACGCCAGCATCTTTTTTTCCTCTTTTGATTCACTAGAATTATTTTGGTTTTCTTCCCATTAGTTTTTCTATCACACTAATAAATTCCCTCTATTCTGCACAGGCATCAGTTAACAAATATTTGTACTTTATAAACTAACTGTTTTACTTGTTCTCCGTGTTTCTGCTGGGAGTTTCTATGATGTAGATGCTAGACGCTCATCTGAGGATACAAAAGCCATGGGCTCGAGTCCAAACAGAACCAGAATTTTCTTTTCTTTTAATGATTTTGCTTTCCGGGTCGACCCGGCCTTGAGTGAATACCGGGTAAAGTCCTGGGAAGTAAAGATGGCAGGCATGATGCTGACCACATCACCCAATCAGTGCTGATTGGTCTATAAAATATAGGTCTAGCCCTATAAGCCCAGTATGCCTGAAGGTATGGAAAAAGAGTCCTTTAATTTGTTTCACATATTTCTGCTCCAAACAGCAGTACTGATCTGACATTTGAGTTAAATATTTTAGGCTAAGTATCAGTATTTACTAGTCACCTTTTGCTAAATGCTTCTTAAAGGGCGGTGGGTTTATTTGTTCCCTAAAAATGGGCCTCAGAATCCATATAAATTATGTGATCAATGTAATTCTGGCTGTCCTTACTCCCCGGAAATTCCCTTATACCCAAAATTGCACGAATAGCTTTAGTTTACAGGTATTTTTTTTTCCATGATTTAGCTGGACTGAAAACTACATTATGTAATCATCATCATGTGCCACAGTAATAAGTGTGTGCAATCATGATTCATCTTCGTCTTCCTTGTCCTGTTCTGTGGATCAGTGTCAGATTTTGAATAGGTATTGAGTGCATTGATATGTGCTAAACAGACGCTGGCATTTACAGATTCGGATATTCCATCCATCCATCACTTGCATGGTCAACCTCTGGACTGTTTCCATTATATCTAAGTAACAGGGTTCTATGTGGTGCCCTATCTGATGGTAATCTTGACACAAGTTCAAACCTTTTTATCTGTTGTCTCTTGAGGTAGTTTAGTACTAGTTCTGACCCAACTTCTTTTTTGATATCATCATTGCTAATCCTGTCTCTTCTAGTTAGCAATAGAAATAGTCGTAGACAAATTATTTCAGGTTTTTTCCATGGATCACCATCTCCTCTTTGTTTTACAAAATAATTTTGCTTCAGATGTAATTCTGCTATGTCTGTTTATAGCACAGATATGATATTTATGTCTTTCAGCTATGTCTGTTTATAGCACAGATATGATATTTATGTCTTTCAGCTATGTCTGTTTATAGCACAGATATGATATTTATGTCTTTTCAGTCAAAACATCCAACATTTGTGGTCATTTGCTGACAGGCTTAGCCTTCTGGTTACTTTCTGTGGACAATGCAAAACTTTGTTTTCCGGTTGGCATCTTTGCCCCTCATCTGAAGGTGGTGCACCACAGGAGGTCCCCTCAGAACAGCTGCATACAAGAGGGTCCAGACCTTAACTCTTTAAGTCCCAAGAGGTTTATCATCAGAGGCTCAAGGGGTAGTCAAAAGAGACGTTAAATCAGCGCATCATGCGTTCATTGGGCCTCTAGGTAGGAAACTATGAACGTATAATGCGTTCCTTAGGATTCAAAGAGTTAAGGGGAGAAGACTGGGGCCAGAGCATGGATACATCATATTCTTCAGGAAACCTCTATATTATAGAGGCTATATTATAAGCCACATTGTTTGAGTAATTTTCCACTATAAGTTTTGGGGGTGTTTTCCATACTAAAATCTGAATTTTACAACTTAGAAATGACATACAGGCTTCAATAAGGTACTACTGGACTATGTTTTTCAACCTCTGTCTAGCTGTTATTGTTTAAAAGATATCTTGGCTCTCCTTTAAATAGCGGTCGCTAGCAGGAAGGCAGAGTTCAGTCCCCTGGCTGCAGTGAAATTACGGAGTGGAAAAGAGGGAATGAAACAAATGAGATATTTACCTGTCATCCTAGGGTTAGGCTTAGGGTTTGGGGTAGGGTTAGGGTAACACATAACGGAAACCATGCAAGCTTATCGCTTATTACGACATATAGATCTGCAGGTCTCACATCTACGGTCACAAAGTCTTGCGTCGGAAGAACGCGGTCGCTAATTTGAGTCCCAGCGCGTGGTCTACGAGAGTCTTGCGTCGCAAGAACGCGGTCTGTCCGTCGCAGCGCGTGGTCTAGCTCTAGCAGCCATGTCGACCTGACTGTGTTTTTTGATTCGTGACTTGTCCACTCAATAATTGCACTGCAGCCAGGGGATTGAAATTCAGCAATGTGACTCAACTTTTATAAGCTAAGCACACAGTAGACATGTGATGCTCTGATGCTAGGAATCACCACATGAATGTATAGCTCAATTTTTGTATGTTTAGCTTCGCAGTCTTAAATGGATTTGCTTTATGTTAGGTACCAACAGCACTGCGACACAACATTAGATTAGACTTCCTCTTTAAAACATTACCATTAACATTGTGGAAAATGCGGTGTCTTGCGTTTTTTAAGAGTTAAATATAAAAATATTGATAATTAAATCAATATACCTTTATAATAGAAAAGATAACTGCAATTCTTTCTTTCAAGTGATAAAATTAGTTATTATGCTAAAATTAAATCAAATTAATTTTATTAATTAGTTAAATTGAAATTGAAATAAATTTAAAATTACGCTGGAGTCTGTTTTCTATCCACAATGTTGCACCTAATACACCAGTTGCTGTTACGATGGCAACTTTAGTTAGCGGCGACGACCACATATTCAATATACATAAAAACTAGAGTGCATCCGTCTAGATTTTAATAATGTTAAAACTTAAAACACAGCGAAGGTTGTTAGGACGGTCACTGCACACAACATGAAAGACGTGAGAGTAGCGTCCCTGGATAAGACATGAGAGTTATATCCTTTGGTTCTTCATTATCATTTTCTTTTATTTCATCTTCTTCTTCGCCTTCGTTCACTGACTGTAAACTGCAGCTTAAAGTTCTGGTTGTTTATCCTCTTTTCTTTTGGAATGTTGTTTAGTTCCAGAATCTGAGTTTTGCGCGCGCACATCTATTTTATAGATCTGAACCTTTTATGCAGACTGTTGGTTCCTCGCCTTATACTTATATGCAGATGTAATTCAGCTTAAGAGGAGGCATCTCTAATTAGTCGACTCCTACGAAATACTTGTTAAAAGTAGGGCTGTACCGAATAGTGATTTCACTATTCGGTCGAATACAAATAACGGGACCGACTATTCGGCCGAATACGAATAGTGTATAATGTATAAAATATATCCCACCCAAAAAATACACACACACACACACACACACACACACACACACACACACACATTCATAATGTCAAATGTACGCTGAACTCTTACTTAACATAAAGTAGCACAGAATAGTCATCTTCTTTCTTTAGCATTCTTTAACCTCTGCTGTAATGCCTCGGAGTCAGGCACTGTTACCGCGAAAACGGGTTGCCGTTTTTCCCGCTACAAAATATTTAGGCATGGCTACTGTTGTGTTAAAAAAGGCATGAAGAAACTTGAAAGTGTATCTGGGTGTGTGTGTGTGTGTGTGTGTGTGTGTGTGTGTGCGCGTGTGTGTGTGTGTGTGTGTGAGAGAGAGAGAGAGAGAGAGAAAGAGAGAAAGAGAGAGACAAAGAGAGAGCATGCATTTTTTTTTTATTTTTTTCTTTCGGGGTGTCTTTTCCCAAATCAAATTGAAGATATTGCAAACGAGAATATGGTGGTGCATTTAAATTACATCGAAGGAACGCCTGAACGGAAAATGATTTAAATGTGAATTTGGCACATGGATAAAATCAGATGAAAGATGCATTACTAAAATAAAATAAAAATAAAAAATAGGACAGGCAAAAACTGCATTTTATATTTAAAAAAAAAGAACATCTTGTGCCATATATCGTTGTCTTGCTTGCTACATACATCCAGTTTTAACATATGGCTATGAGTCCTGGACAATCGGTAGCCAGGCCAAACAATTTTTTGAGGCCTCAGAGATGTGGTTTTACAGAACAATGCTTAAAATATATTGGACAGCTTTAAAAAAGCAACCACTAGGTTTTGAAAGAGGCGGGAGCCCGAAGACAACTAATCGCAGACATCAGAAGAAGACAGTCATCATTTTTCGGCCATCATATAGAAAGAGTGAAAATGGAACATGTGGTGACCACTGAAAAGATTTGCGGAAGGAGAGATAGAAAAAGACAACGAGAGAAGATTCTTGACAGTCGTTGCATGTCATGGAGGTGTGTCAGCACACAAATTGATACATGCTGCAGGAGATCGCAGATTGTGGCGAGGCAAAATCGCCACACCAGTCGGCGAGGCACCTGATGGTGATGATACACTATTCGTATTCGTATTTGGCCGAATAGTTGGTCCCACTATTCGTATTCGGCCGAATAGTGAAAACCACTATTCGGTACAGCCGTAGTAATAAGGCCTCATCTTTTTTTCATTTCTGCTTCAAGTTTCAGAGCCATATAAAACGACTGGTCTTATCAACGTTTTATATATTTTGATCTTGGTTTTGCGAGACAGACACTTTGACTTTAGCAAATGATAAAGGACATAGTTTACTTTATTTCTAGATTGTATTCTAGATTGTTTTCTTCTCTCAGCATGTTGGAGCAGTTGAAGTTTGCACCCAAGTACTTATATTTTTCCGTTCGTCCGTTCGTTTGATTTTCATATTATCGACTTGGATGTGGCCGGAGTTTATATTATTTCCATGACTAGTTAGTATTCGTACAGAATAGTGAGTATTTAAAAACATTTTATGTTTTAGATCCTGCAGTCAGTCTGTGGTAACTAAAAACTAGGAATGAAATAAACCTAAATATTATAACAAGTAACTAAACTTGGAAATTGTCACTGACAGCTAAGTAAATGCACGAAAGCTGCATTAGCTTTCAACAAAACCAATCGTTCCATGTTGTCAGTAATAAGGGCGTGTATGCAGAAGCGGGTGTAAGGTAACTACTATTCGTATTCGGCTCGACCGCAACTATTCGGCCGAATACCGAATAGTCAATAGGTCCACTATTCAGCCTCGAAGCGAATTCGGTACAGCCCTAGTTAAAAGTTAGGGGGTTTATCTCTCCCCCTCCCCCCCCCCCACACACACACACACACTGGGGTTCCGGAATCCACACGGGGAGCTCATCTCCGTATCGTGCGATCTCCAAAACTATGTATTACAATGTACTTTGTTTACTGACACCCTTCCAGAAGATTACAAAAGGCTATAACAAATATTGCCTTGTCGTCTTCCTAAATCCATTGCCGGTCCTAAGCCAGGATGAAAAAGAATGAAGGTTGGAGGGGCGGGGTGGGACTAGCTAACCTACCATGTAAAATTAATTTGCTAGAGTAACTCACAGGGGGAATACTGAGAATCCAGCGTGACATGTAGATGGCACAACGGTATTAGGGCGATGTTGTTTTCTCTGTCTCATTTCCCAAAAATCTTTCCAGTTATCATGACATTCTCCCAAATAAATCTTGCCACTTTCCTGAATTTAATTTTAATTACCCCTGGCTACCGGGGTAGTTAGTTAGTTAGTTGCATATCCTTTGCATGACGTTGCAGAACCAACCTCCTCATTTTTTTTTTGGGGGGGGGGGGGGTGGTTTTTCTAGGCAAATTTTACGTTTAGTAGTTTAGGATAGACCCAGCCTAAAATTGGTACTAGTCAAATTCCTTAGTAGTAATGGCTGGCGGAGTGATGTCGACCACATTACCCATTGTGGATCGATTGGTCTATTAAAAAAATATGAGTCTAGTGTCGTATACTCGATGAGCTACTCCCGTGAAGAAAAAAAAGTCTTACGCTTTTTTTAATGTATTGTCAGTCAAGTGCTAGAATAAATATCTTGAGAACAAAAGAGGTCCACTGAAAAAGTATGACAAAAAAAAATCCGGGCTCTAGTCACATTAAGAGATCCAACAATGAGAGTGAGCTCCCTTCCCACTGATGTCTCGATCTGGTGTAGGGCCTCTACTATGTTTGGGAGCATCCTAGGTCGCACGACTGTATACAGCGTACAATAGAGGAAGCATACAGTTGTGACATATAGGTTGACGCTGTGGAGTAGGGGGATTTGGGTTAGGCCCAGCTGTACATGTTTTGGGACCGTTGAAAGCGGTCACAGCATAGACGACGCGATATCGCCGGCCGCTGACAAGGAGTAAACTACGGCTCGCAACGCCTGAAACCCTTACGGCATAGTACAGGCACATACTGGTACATAGTACCAGATCGAGGCATTGGTGGAAAGGGAGGTCACTCTGATTGTTGAGTCTCTTATCGTGACATGTACCTCAAATTGTTGCCATTCGTCGGTGCAGAAGAAATAAGAACAGAGAGGGGGACACCGTAGACAATGTTAAAAACTAAAGCTATAGTTCTTCTTCTTCTGCCTTTTATCTTCCAACAGAGCATAGGCCCTTTACCAATTTACGTCATGTCGACGTATCCGTCGCTATTGCATGCAGCTCACCCCATGTCCTGCCAATCTTTTCAACTTCATAATCGAGCTCCCTTTTCCATGTGTATTGATCTGCCATTATTTATATGCCCCTGGAGTTTCAGGGCAGGTGAAAGGAGGTACGTCGACGATTCAGACTCCTTTTGGCTTTTTTCTGCACCATTTATCATTCTTCTGTAAAAGAGCTTCCACGCCCAGGTAGAGTGCAGTGTTACTATTGTTTGCCCCCATTAAGGGCCCCGGTAACACATGAGCGAAAGATATGACGTAGACTAAGACTTTATTTACCATTTTAAAAAAATCTACGCTGGCGCCTCCACACGACGACGACTCCTGGCTGTGGAAAATGTTGTGCCTTGTTTCTTGTCCTATACCAGGACAGTCTTGCAGCCAGTAAATTATTAATACAAAAAGGTAACGGTAAAGGTAACGTTGATCTCCCCACGCCCCGCCCATATATACACACTAGCTCACTTCTGATAGGTAGTTCTAAAATCTGTCACCTTGGCACAAGGTTACGTGGGGTGTTCCGCAGTGCTGTTGATATGGCGTGTTGTATATTTCAGCATGCCAGTTCTTTAAACACTCCAAAAACATAAAGAAACTGTTCCTAACACAACCTCAATAGAGAGTGCAACCTGTGTCACAGGCATTATCTTTCTCGGAATGAAAACGTAAATGCAAGATAAGACAGAAAGCAAATAACAGAGCAGGACACATACGTAACCTTCAGGAAAGTCGACCAGCCTAACAAACTTGTGAATGAAAAGTGACTTTCTCTATTTGGGGAGATTAACGTGAACCGAACCAAGGCAACTTGTCGGTAGTTATCTGTAAAATGGCAGCGACCGCGATGAACATCAACACAAGGGGAAAATGGGAGATTAGGGATAAAAAAAAATTTTTGGGACCGTTTTAACTGGCTTACTCCTTGTGTTTAAATGCGCAATAAAAAATAATGTGCAAGTGGCCAAATAAATGTAATGATATATTGGGGGGGGGGGGGGGATAGGAAATGTATAAACAAATACTAAAAAGAGAAAACACGTGGTTATGGGGACCATTTAGTCCCCTTGCTAATTTTCTGGTGGTCGGGGAAAAAGGGGGGGGGGGGGATCGTTGTGGGCGTCTAACTTTAAGGTCCTTTAAACACCAGCACAGACTAGCAGTCAATTATTATTATTCGAAAAGTTTATTTAAGTAAATTACTGTATACTATGATTATATATTCATTATGACTATGACAT